TAAAACTCCGCTGAACTGCTGGTCGATCACCAGTAGTTCAACCGTTGATCACTTTTGATATGAGTTCAAGATTTATTTAAAAAAAAAAGTGCGGTTACTTTCAGTTGACTGAGAATTTTAAGCAATTCGTACTTGGTAGTAATCATGGAGGTAGAATCCATGGTAGCAATGGATATTGTGGAAAACCAAAGTTGAAAATGGTCGAAAATGTGTGGAAATTTAGAAACTGAGGTTTTTTTTTGAGGGAGGGGGTCCTGAAAGAGTCATGTGCCTTTAATAAAAATTGAAAGTCCATATATATTCTTTCCTGATGCCAACAAGTGTCGGACAGGAACACAAAGTGTGTTCGAGGGTCTCATCGTCCTCTGCATGTGCAATGGAACCCAAACCGACGATATATAAGCTTTTGTTTAAGGGACTGTATTCGGTGAACAACCCCAATAAATTTCTGAAATCTTTCTCATCATCAGCCTTAAATAACACAGGTTCGAGATCCGCCATTCTTGAAGATGACGTAATCCCGTGCACTCTTTGAATGTTTTCTTTTGGACGTGTGGCGACACAGTAATAAGTAGTAGTAAGCGGAGAATGATAAGCCCCTCCGTGCTCTAGTGGTAAGGGCACCTGCCCGGCAAGCGGGTGACGTGTGGGTCGATTCCCACCGGGGCAGCAGCAACATTTTTCTTCTCTTACCTACATTGGTGACCCCGACAGGCAACACGCACGCGCACGCACGCACTACTCCTTCGCACCCCAACACGACCGCGCGCACTGTGTCGCTGGGGGGAGTACTGTAGCCACACAATAATAAGTAGTAATAGTAGGCGGAGAAAGATAAGCCGCTCCGTGGTAAGGGCACCTGCGCGGCAAGCGGGTGACGTGTGATTCGATTCCCACCGGGGCAGCAACATTTTTCTTCGCTTACCTACAGACGCTTTTAGAAATTGGGCGACTTCACACTTACAAAGTGCCTTTCAGAGCGCTAACTTGCCAGAGCGGTGGCCTTTTTATTTCCTATATGGCCCATAATATCCAGGTATTCAGCTGAACACAAGTTTTTTGTTGTGCTCCGCTAAATTCTGTATTCAATTGTGACATTCTCAGATAAGCTTTGATGTGTGCCTGCTACACTGGAAAGCTCTCAAAAAGCTCTCAATGAAATCTGATTGTGTGCGAAAATGCAAATTCGTCTTTCATTCTATGAATCAAAGCAAAGATTTCTCTTTGAAAGACACTGGTATGGCTTACCCAGTAATATCGAGACATTGAGAATTGTTTCGTTAGAATGTCGGAGCTTGATCCCTTGCTGGAGACCGAATTGTCCGCATAACAGGTGACTGCTGTTTCGATAAATGCCAGTCTTTGATTTCATAACGGTAATGTCGGTTACTTCTTCCCTCAGTTTAGTACCAAAAATAGGTTCTTTTCCACGGTTCAGAATATCCAAACTCGTTGTAGCAACGTAATTCAGAAGAGCGTCTCCTTTGGAATTACGTTAGAACTTCCCCACACGATTTGGTGTGAAATCGCATCGGATCCTACGATGAGACCTCACACAGAGCTTTGCTAACGTGTATTACCACCATTACCAGGGTGGCCGTACAGGTGAGTCATAAAGCAGATAGGCGGAGCACACTATAAGTGTTCTCGGCCTTCTGCCGCTAATGATATTTCTACGGGCAGACACTACATCCCCACAGGACAGCTTTTCCAAGGGAAGGGCCTTTGCCCTGGGTTTATGTACGATTGGACTGGCTGATAACTGGGACGCGTACCGAGAGAGTTGGGGGCGAATCCGCGATCATCGCGTGGACGCGGCCGGAAAACGAGATTCTTTTTGGAGTGTTGGCCTGAGAAAAAGTGCCGTGGCTATTTTTCAAAAAAATTTTTGAGAAGTGCAGAACCCCGGTTGAGACCGACCACCGTAAGTACCGTTTTGGGTTTGTTTGCATACCCTACCGCCGTCACTGTTTTTTTTTTCCGTTAACCACAAGAAACCGAAACCGTTGAGCATGCCGCACCTCCCGTGTCGCCATACCGTCCCCGCGCGATTTGCCATTCCAGGGTTGCTGCCCCCAAAACCAGGAGGAGTCCGTCCTGAAAGAAGCCGCCCTCCAGGAAGAAACGACCATACGTTTTGTTCTTTTTTTTCTTATTTGTTAAACCGACTTGTATTTTATACATATTTAAGATTAGTCGTAAGATTATTTTAGCCGGGTAGCTGGTGGCAGGGAATAAAAACCCGATTATTTTAAGAAATTCCCCTGTCTTATTTCTTATTTCTGCGGGCGCTCACCAGACCACCTGGAGATCCGTGTCTCCGACTTTAGAGCAACCCCGGTGTTCCCAAAATGATGAAATCCGTTCTAGTGCAAAGTGGTGGACCGCAAAGATGGAAAAGTGAGAGTGACCTTGAATTTACGACAAAAACACGGTGTGAATAATTTTATTACGTTATTTCAAAATGCCGTAACTATAAAATTTCTTCGTTCTTTTCAAATGCAAGATTATAAATTTCGATCACATAATACAGCTGCTTGTTAAATGTAGACAATTCTCTAGTTTGTAACATCTTATCAGCCGTGATCTTACCCAAAGGGAATGGATATATGGCAATGCCCGCAGTATTATGTTGGCGTGTTGGCACTTTTTTTTATCAGAAGTCGGAAGAAAAAGAACCCGATTTACTTCAACAATTTAAGGGACGTTTAACGAGTAACGCTACTGGTTCTAGGCACTGTCCCTGACTGTGCTTCTCCACTAACCACAGCTACGTACAACCATGCCATGGTGTCCCCGCAAGCGTTCGCTATGCCTTCTGTGTTCGTTGGCGCCTGCGGCAGCTGCTTGAAGTTTTATTTCGCAACTATACTCCATCCCACGCTTGACAAACAGCGGCTACCCCCAGCAGAGTTTCTTCTCCCAGCAGGACACCCTACGAATAACTCGCGTTAGCGGAATCCAGTATTGCCAATAAAGTCATATGAATGAAAGGGAAATTACCACTCTGGACTTGGACACAGCTCCACTCTCGAATTTAATAGAGCAAAATGTATTAAGACTACATTGTGAATCGAATTCCACATCACAAAAAAACACGTTAAGTTAAAGGTGGTCGAAATCATAAGAATGTCATTCGGTACACACTTCATTATGAAAGAAGTGTCTGAAAACGTTCCAAAATTCAAGTCATCGAACACATACATCATGATACAAAATCAGCATAAAATCCCCATTTCCTCTTCGAATTCACGATGACATTTACTTCATTGGTAATTTTCAATGAGAATCAATGCTTAGAAATTTAATTGTGAATACTGCCAATCACTATTTTAAAATTTCCAAATATGAATCTATTAAATTGAGATAAGTTAAAAAAAATCACCATATCCTTATAAACATGTCACAATTTAAAATATTATAAAATATTACCCTTCTCATTTGTATAAAATTGCTTATTTCTTTATTATTTATATTGTCATACAAGAAAAATAAAATGTATAACGAGTCTGCTTACTACCACAGCTACGTACAACCATGCCATGGTGTCCCTACAAGCTACTACCCCTTCACTAACTTACTACTCACAAATTCCAGCAAAAAAAACAAAAGTTGCGTATGGTTACCTATGTTTAACGTTTTTCTTAATTCATTTTTCAAATTCAAATTATTCAAATGCGATTTCGCGATGTTGTTTTTTTCAGCGCGAAATTTTCATTTAAACTTGGACACCACAAGGTTGAAGTTAAAAATTCTGAAGTTCCTTACCCTCAGGGTTGCTATGGGTGTTTCCCATAGCAACAAGCCAGACTGTGATAGGCCTGACTCGTTTTGTTCTTTGGATAACCCAACTAAAGTGACCCCTACGCCAGGATTTTGGGCTTCTAAGAGCTTCAATCACTGCTGGAGCCACTAGTGGTCCCTGGACAAGGCTTTCCTTATTAGCCTTTTAAGTTCCGAGGTTGGTGCTTACCGCAGGATAAAACCCTCTAACTTAATAACAAGCTCTAAACAATCTTGGATTTTGTCCTCTTTACACTGTAGGTACATGGATTATCCCCTGGCGGAGTTTTCCACTAACAAGATGAGGTTGATGTCCATCTTCAGGAGGATTATCTGCAACATGTAGCAATGCCTCGAGAACCCTCTTTTGGGTGCGATTTCAAGTTATAGGAGGTGGGTACTACTAGCCTATAACCGTGGTACAAGCACTAACTGGAGGAGGGTGGAATAAGAACGGAGGGAGCATGTCGTATGCTTTCAATGGTACGGTTTTGGCCCAAAATCAACTACCGCAAACACCGTTTACGATCGGTCTGTCGACTGTGCGCATGTGCGAGCTGGCTACAAACGTCGAGAAAAGCCCATCGTCCTCCATGGGCGTACATCTCAGTTATTTTGTTCCATCACATGCTGTGTATCTTTATACTTTGAGCTTGAGCCGTTTTGTTTTTAATAAATTCAACATAGTGAACTGCAAACTTTGTAAGTTGTGGCATGGAAGTAAACAATCTGTGAAAGACAGACTTAGTTTTCATAAGTAAGTAATAAATGTATAACTTGAGTACCTTTGCCCGCCACTGTTTAGCGATTCTCTTGAAACTGGGGGCGTGGTTTAGCCGAGCGCGTATTCCAAACACCGTCGTAAACGGTGTCTAGATTTCGGACGATCGGTGCCACATTTTTCGACCGTACTATCCCTCCGTTCTTATTCTACCCTCCTCGCACTAACTCGATAGTAGTAACAGAAAAGGAGAAACACTTGAAATTTTTAACAAAAAATAGAAAAATAGAAATATGGAAGTAATTTATTAATAGTGTGTAAAATATAAAATACGTTTGTTGTTGGTGTATTTAAATTCAAACAATTTGCAAAAAAATTACAAAAAATCACAGCTCCATTGTGTGCCAGACTATGGTACGCCACTGCATACTTTTTTTATGGAATAAAATTTATGCAACCGCATACGCAACATTGTTTTGTTTGACAGAAAACATAATGAGGCATAAACATAACCTTGTAGATATGTGCATAGAAGTATAGAAGTGGAGCTTCAAAATTCGTAACAACATTGTTCTGAAAGTAAAGTTATTGAGTCTATAAATTAGTACACATTATGGATTTAAATAGAAAGCTCTCTTCCCTACAAGAAATATCCAAAGCACAATTATCAAAAATTCTAAGCATTGTGACCGCAACAAAATATGTAGTGTTAGAGCCAAGCATAATTCGTCCTCTCGAGAGAGTATGCGGTGTCAAATGGTTAAAGTAAGTACAATTTTTCTTGAAATTATGGCATTTTGTGTATTTTCATTTAAGGAGTAATGGTGTGGAGAAAATCTTTAAATTAGAGCCAACCTGCCCAAGTTTTGAGAATAGTTCAGTTTTCTACATGATTTTTAGTAATTTGGCCAAATTTCGACAAGTAGTTGACCAGATTCATTCTCAAATCAGTCAAGACAATCCACCAAAGAACAAGTATCACATAATTGTTGTTCCACGCTACTTAAATTATTTTCAAGATGAATTAGAAGAACTTGGTCTTTATTCGGTAATAAAATTGCATTCATTCCAATGGTTCCCTTTACATTTAGATACTGGCATTCTAAGCTTAGAATTGCCCAATATTTATAAAAGTCTGTTTTTGCAACTTGATTATACATTCTTACCACTTTTGTCAAGGGCATTATGGAATTTATTTTTTGTAATTGGGAAACCGCGTTTCATTGTAGCTTTAGGGGAATATTCTAATAAGATTTTATCTCAGGTAGATATTTTAATAGAAGATAAAGGTGACTGTGATAAATTAGATTCAGATATAGGAGGCATTGTGCTTATTGATCGGAACTTTGATTATCCTAGTGCCTTGTTAACACCAGGTACTTATGCAGCTTTATTGAATGAAGTATATGGTGTCACTTGTGGTATTTGTGAGTACAAAGAAGAAAGTGTGGATGAAAAAAAGGAGGATCGCCTTCATCCAGTTATTAAAAAACAACCCGTCAATTTCATGCTGGACAGCAATCAAGATTTGGTATATGCAGACATTAAAAACCGTTATTTTACTGAAGTTACCTCCGTTTTAAGTACTTTAACAAAACAATTAAAAACTGAAAAAGTTCAGTCTAAAGAAATGGCCTTAGATGAGATAAAAAGTTATGTCCAGAATAAGTTACAAGCAACAAAGTCGCGAAAAAAATGTATCACGAATCATCTACTAGCAGCGGAAACAATAATCAATGTCCTTGGATCACGATATGAAACTCAGCAAGAAGTTGAATCAGATATTATTAAAAATACAAATAAAAGTACAAATTTCAGTTATGCTGAAGAGGGTTTATGTGTGGAAGATGACGCATGTGTGACTTTGAGACTGTTTTGTTTACTTTGTGTCACACAAAAACTTAGTGAAAGTGAAGTTAAAAGTTTTTGGAGAAAATTTGTCCACCAATTCGGTTTTTCGTGTAGTTTTGCACATAGGTACCTGATCAATGCGGGTTTTATTCCAGAACCAATAGTCGCTAGTAGCAGTCTAAATCTACAAAGTAAAATTCGACTGCCGAAATTCATCTCAAACGAATTTTACAGCAACGCGAATCGGTTCAAACAAATACCTCCAAACCCTGAAAAAATTAATTTGAAGTTTCCCACTTGTGCTAGTTATGTTTTTGGAGGTATTTATATTCCACTAATTACGCAGATTGCGAGTATGATATTAAATGCGACACCAATTGACGAGATTAAATCAAAGCTGGGTGGTTTAGGGCTAATGACTATAAGAAATGACATGGGATTTCCCTTACAAAGGAGATCGTTGCTAATTTTTATGGTTGGTGGAGTTACGTATGCGGAAATTGCTGCTTGTAATTTATTAGAAACTCTGACGGGCGCTAAGATTGTAATTTTGAGCGACAAGATTATTAATGGTAATAACCTTATGAAAGAAATTCTATCCTAATATTTTTGTTCTCTTTTCATTGTAATGACACAGTTTTAGTTTCAACATACATAGTTTTCTAACAGAATTTATGAGGGCTTCATAATAATATTAATTTATTAAAATTAAAATAGCTCGTGAAGGTGGTTGTCCTTTTCCTAAACAGGACTCAGAAGTGGAACTTACGAGTCCATTTCTTAATGTATCTTGTGATGAACATCATTTTAATATACTGTTGACAATTTATAAATAAATATTTTGAGAACCCATTATGTTTAAACAATAAAATGTGATTTTATTTATTAATTGGTGTTTTTTTACCTTACCTGTTTATTGTTCAGATGCAAATGACGTGTTAAATATCAGACGGGACCAATTGAATATACTGTTTTTATTTTCTTGTAACATGTAAACAATGAAACCATGTAATAATGAAAAATATAACAATTTATTATTAAAAATTATTTCTAATGTGAGATATAAAGTGATGTATTAATGTTAAATCTTATGACCTAATCAGGCAAGAATTCTACAATTAAAATAAATTATCCATAATGTAAATACAGCTGTAGAAAAAATATACTTAAAAAAGCGTGAGCTAATAAATACTAAAACTTCACTTAAAAAAAATAAAATTTGTACACTGGGAACAAGTGAAGCAAAAACAATATTTAGTACCATTAAATTCCGAAACATTCGACCTTCAGCAACTTCCTAAAATATGTAAAGGCAACAATTTTTTATGTACAAATAAATAATGAATAATGATAAAATTAACAACAAAACTATGACTAGTCATTTAAGACCTATGAGAAACATTCATAAACAATGAAAAACTACAATCGTTACTTTGAAAGATCAATAACATTCAATAGCAAGTATAAAATAAAAGTAAAATATAATCAATATCACCCATTTCTCAAATTAATTTTTGTTATTATCCACTGGCTTCTTTCTTCGTCGACCTCCTTCCAAAAGATACGACACATCCAACGGTTGTTTCGTTGGCATCTTGCTCAAGAGATTCAACAATATTTTATTCAAACGAGCTTTCTGTTCTGAGGGGGTCTAAACACACTACCATTAACAAGAACACTTAACTCAACACCAATATACTTACTCTAATAACAGGCACATGGACAGACATTGGTGGAATTACAGGTTCTCTAGTGTCCTCGTTTTCTTGAGGCTTTCTTCCTCGTGGTTTAATCATCGCTGGATCAAGGTCGTGTGGAGTGTAAGTCCTTGATATTTTAAGTCTTGTTTCAAATCGCTCAAAAACAAAAGTTTTCGTACAAATAGGAAACTTGGATTTTGAAACTTTACTGAACAATCGTGCAGATTTATCTACGCGATATTCACAAATATAAATGTGTTCTTCAGGGGCCCCTATGGGTCGTCCTTTGCAAAAGGTGTTCAAATCCATTACCCAACAGTGTGAAATTACTAATTCAACTGGTACGGCCTCGTATAAGGGTACGCGCATAACTTCGTTTGGAAAGAATCTAAAAGAAATGAATTTATTAAACAACCTTACAAACCACTTTTTTATATCTGATTTGTTTTTTTTACATATTGTCACTGAAGTTATATACACAGAACCTTCATAAATGTTCACATCCAAAAATGTAACCAACACATTATCTCTAGGCAAACCATCACAAAACGGTTCATTACATGCATCACAAATTCAGACTATAGATGGTTAAAAATCATTTATGAAAGTACGGTAGAATATTTTTTGAGGATTTTGATATTTGTATAATATTGTATGCAAGTAATTCTGAGATTTATGTCGCTGTAACTATCTAGCATGACACGACTTACTTCCTTGTGGGTTCATGGTAGGTTTCATGGGGCCTCAGATAATGATGACCATATGCAAAACGTTGGCCCGTTTTTGAATCTTTCCAGAGTCGTTCAATGCGGAATATATCTAAATCGGCGTAATCTATTTTTCCTATTGTGTTGTAAGTGTGTTTACGGTCTGTGCCAGGTATAGGAATATCACGCAGTACATATACAGTGTCTCCCTGTCTAAGCTGCAGTTCACCACGTAAAAGTGTCATGTAATATCTGCAAAAATAACATAAGACTTAACAATTAACTTCAGATGGCAGAACGAAAGAATTCTTATTGGATGTTATTATTTAAGTTGCCAAATTTCAAGCCGTACAAAAAATGTAAAAAAGCAAAATAGTTTGATGATGTTGAAAATCATTTTCATGCGATTTATAAACAAGAAATTAATATTCTGTGACGATTAAATTCGTTTAGGAATGAAGCAATTCCGCCCCAGTTCATAATTCTGGTTTTACGGATTATGAATGCAGGCTGCTAAATTTTTAAGTCGCAAATTTTTAGTATATAAAAACAGTATTCTTACTGTACTTAGAGATACCTGTGTACATTGTACATGTAAATCTGTTTTTCCGCACCAAAAATTTCATGTCATCTCAATTTTTCTAAATACATCTTATTTAAAATAAAAAATAAGATTTTACGTCATATTAATTCACCCTTATTTTTAAGCTACGACTGCTCTAAAACTTCGTACATGCTTTAAGTTTATGGCGAATATTATACATTGTTAATCAAAATGATTTTTTTTATTATTTCCAAAAAATTGACGTCACTGCAAAATTTGCCAAGTAAAATAGAAACGTCTTTATTTAATAAGAATTATAATAATGATATTCAGAACATTTTGTTGATTGTAGCTTACTACTTAATAGTTTTGATCCTGTTTTGAGGGGACGAACTCATTCAAATCAAACTAATTTCTACGTCACATTCTTCCAATGTATAAACATACAGACTTGACAAGTTGTTTTTCTTATCGAGGATAACCTAAGGACGTGCAGTAATGGAGTCCGTCGAGCAATTTGGTACTTTCATATTTTCTCGATATTTCACAACCCCTAGACAAGGCCGTAGTTAGGGATGCTGAGCCTCCCCTAGGTCTACACAAGTTATAATTAACCAAATGTGAATTACAACATCGAAAATTAAATCAGTTATTGCAATTCGTAGAAAACATCTTTTAGTTTAGTTTCTGTTACACTCCCAAGTCTACGTATTGATAAGTGTTATCGCTATTTGTCTTAAATTACAAGTACCATAAATGATTTTTAGTTCAGTCTTCAGTCGCACCTCTGTTATTACATACGGCAGACGTGATTAAATTCTTTCGTTATTTTATTAATAATAAATCACTATTCAAAAATAAGAATAATACAATACTTTTATTATTCGTATTATAATACATCTATCCAAACTGATATATGTGTCCTTGCAAAAATGTCGATGACATTAACATAAAATTTTGCGGTTAGCACGTTTCTTTACATTTAATCAAACATTAGATACATATTTTTATCTTAACTTATAATGGTTGCCATATAAAACAATCAAATTCGCAAAATCAAATCTTTTAATTTTTCGAGAGAGCTGGATTTGACAAGCTGTACTTTATGGGCGAGGGAAGTTCTGTTGAAGTAATTTTTGACCATTTTTTTTTTAATACAATAGATGTCATTACTTCCCGTTTCTTAAATCACAGCAATGAGAAAACAACATCGTTGATTAGCAAATTTTAATTAATTCACTCCAAGATGGCGACGGCTGTGTGTAAATTTAATTTGATGCTATTCCACCAAGAGAACATTTTTTTAAATTATATATAATAAAAAAACTGTAAAAATATTTATTGATAACCGAAATTTAATGAATGTATAACGCACTGCCAGACAAAAAAACCCGGACACTTGAATATTTGTAACTTTACGCAAATGTTCGCTAAAGTCACTTTTTTTTCTTTTTCCATATTATGTTTTAGTATAAAGTTATGTTTTCTGTTAGTGAATATATTAATGTTTTGATTTTTGGAATATTTGTTTACAAAAGTTCGACCAATCGCAGGTAATCACACAAAAAATTCAAGTGTTCGGTTTTTTTGTCTGGTAGTGTATTTTTGCTACCTTGGTCAGGGTTGCAAAAAATCGAATTAAAAAAAAAATCATGCTTCATTTTTTTTTAGTTTTTCAATTATTTGGAATTACAACTCTAATAAAAGCTCATTCACATCCACTTAGCATACGTAACAAAACATAAAATACAAAAAGTTGAAAAGCATAGAAAACATAACATGGCATACAGAAAAGTTGACCGAACTTCAACTTTAGCATATACTTATGCCATGTTTCCTTTGCACAGCCAATCAGAGCGTGAGCTCATCTCCTCTTTCGGCCATATGTGGTTTGGGGAAGAGAAACGCGCATGTTGAAAACATAACCATTGTGAACTGATAGCTTTGATTGTATGCTTTCTATATTATTTTTTTTGTCATGTCACGTGTGCGAATTGGATGTGAACGGGCTTTAAAAGTATAAAAAAATCGAAAGATAAGTTTTAATTATGTTTATTCAATTTTTGATAACACTATTTTATTGTACTGTTCTTAAAGTAAAAAATTGCTCTAGGATATTAGACAGAACGTCCCTCGCCCCTGAAGTATAGTCGAACAAATACAGCTTTTGGTTTCTTATATAAATTATAAAATTTGATTCTGCCAATTTTATTATTTTCTTTATAGTAACCCGTATAAAACAAAAAATCGACGCGCATTCACAAACCGTAAGTTTAGGAGTTTGCTAATTTCTAATATTTTAATAATATTTACTGTGCAAAATGTTTAGGTGACGTCATTAAATTGTTGGTGGGGATGATCAGACAAATTTTGGTTAGTGTTTTACCACCTACACGATATTCCTAAAATACAAATAAAACCAATCCAATAGTTCCTATGATCATCTGTCTAAGACAATCGACACAAACAGATAGACGGAAACGGAATACCTATTTTTCATACTTTAGGAGTTACGAAAAGTCAGAAAACATAGAACTAGCCCTCCGCCGGATCGATCCTATTACAATATTTCGCGAAGTCAAAAGAAAATTGGCGTTTTATTTTGTTGGAATTATTTTATTCTAGTCTGTATTCAGCTTATTTTGATTTAAACTGCATTTAAAATGGCTGTAATATGCATTTATGCACTGCTTTTAACTGCTGAAGCATCCCTACTAAAATCAATGAATAATGCAGCTTTATTACATACAGGTTTATAACACCTTTCAAACTTCGGTTGCGGTACTTCGTTGTGTTTGGATAGCACGTTTCTCATAAACAGGACAGGAGTAGCCTAATAAAAACGTGCCTGTTCTAAGACTAATTCAACTTACTGGTTAATTTGTTCTTAATGACAGAACAAAGATTCATCAACTTTACCCTAGGGTTGTCTTAGGTTAATCCATTGTACACTGTGTACGTTTCACCTATACCTCATAAAATTTTACGATTGATAATGCTCTCGTTACGCTAATAAAGAAGATTGTAACTCACAAGATTTATATTTTGGTGTTTCAGCTTTAGCAATGGCAAACAATATAGAAATTAAGGTACTACAAAAATTTCAAATATTCAACTTAAAATTATACGTCCAGCTGTGTACTTTAAGATATTATCAATTGTGAGCGTGGTGGTTGAACACGGTAGTACCCCTCTGGTAAAACAAATTCATAAAATTTTGTGAGGTGCAGGTGAAACGGACGCAGTATACAAGAGGCTAAGAAAACCCTGAGGGGAGTCCATTTCTTTTTTTTCCCGGTTTTTACGACGTTCTAGCTTATCTGTTTAGCCGCACTTCTTTAAGATACCCTTTATTCGCACACGAGTTAGTTCGAACGATCGGAATCATAAATAAAATCACGATTTTCTTTGGAACATAATACACACAAGAAAAAAACACAAAACACTCAAAAATTGAGTCGCACTAACCTGTGTCCATGTTCGGTAAATTCATCAAGCGGTATCTCATATTCAACTTCCCTAGGAACACACTGCTCGCAATGATAGCTTTCTGCCGAAACATCGGCTTTCACACATTCGCTATGTTGCCAAACCATACATCTCTCACACTGGATCATTAAACCCTCATCACGCGGCATGCCACAAATGCATCTAATTATATCTTCTTCTTCATCCACTAAAAGAAATCGGACAAATTAACGCAATGGGTTAATGCAAACATAAAAACCCTTACCTTTACTCCTACTTTTATTCGAAATGAAGTTTGGTGGGGGTTTTTTCCCCAAAACATTCTCAAACTTGGGCAAACTCTGTTGTTTTGCTTCCGCGTATATCTTCTTGAGTTTGATGGCGGCAACACCCACCGCATTGGTGCGTCCGTAAAAACGCAAATAATTAGCAAACAAACGGTTCATATCGGAATTGAAGCTTTCGGGCGTGAGGTACACGCCTGTTGCAATATTTTGCTCGATCGTGCCGAGATCTATGGGATTCGTGGTCCGCTGATAGAATTCAGGTACTTTGCGTTTTGATGGCATGTTGATGAAGAAACTGCTCAACGATTCGTTATTTTCGTCTAAAATAACAATATATGTGGTGAAAAGATGAAGAATAAGAAATAGCGAAATTGGTGGTACCTTTGGCTTTTGTCACTGTGTTCCAGATATCCCTCAATACTGATGCGAGTTTGACGGTTTTGTTTAATTCGGGATTTTCTTCCGCTTGAGCCAAACGTCTAGTACGAATGTTGCGTGGTTTTTGTAGGGCGTTTAAGTGATTGATAAAAGCTGCACCCTGATTGGTTGGCGTCATTGACTGTTGACGCGACACTGGCACGGAACTGCTAGATCTGTCTCGTACTTTTTTCACCTACGATGTGAGAAAATATTTTCAAGTACTGGTGATATCTCTATAAAGTTTAAATTTCCCTATACTCACGATCTCTTCATTAAAGATCCACCACCTGTCGAATTATTGCTTCAATAACCATTAAAATTCGCTACAAGTGACAGGAGTAAACTGACGCAGGTGCAAAAAATAACGTTGTTTAAATTGAGTCTCATAAAATTGTAAATTGATTTGATTAATATTGTACCCATAACTTGTGGTGTAGGTGGATTTTTAATGAAATAAACTGAAGTTTTTTTTTTAAATCATAATAAGTTCTATTTAATGTTTGTTATAATTGTTTGTTTTTAAAAAAACTTACCTTCGTTAAATTCCTCAGCAAGAAACAATGATGTTCAAGAATGAAACATTTCTGTTGGTGGCTCATGGGTTTAACTTGAGGTGGTATCACAACCGGCATAACTGGCTGCGGCAACGGTATATCTTTTTCTTTAACGTTGCTAGTTGTTCTCTTCGCTTGATTTTTCCTTGGTCTTCCCACTCTTCCTGGTTGATGCTTCATCTCTTTAACCTCCAGAGGAAGCTGTCTTACTCTCTGAGACTTACCCCCGATAACACCCCTACACATTTCGCTACCGCACTTACACTCCTGCCCTTCAGCAGGGTTAAACAACGAAAAGTTATAATCATAAGTGAGCTCCTCATGAGCCTCGATATCTCTAAGAGCAAACAGCGCCATCCTAAATTGTCCGTTAACAGACCATTTTTGCATTTCGCAGTTCGGTTGACACGAATGGTTGACGAACCTACCGTCGCCACCCATTCGGTGCCCATCAATGACCAAACCTCCGTCCAGATGCAAGCAGTAGTGGTGGGTGTCGTTCACATAAATTGTAGCCATACGTTCTTTAAATTCCTGGTCGGAAACCACTTCTCCTACGTACTCCAGTATGAATTCTCCCGACTTGATGGGCAATTTGGTTCGTACGCCCCAACCTTTATTTTCGGTCATGAACTTTTCAAGACCTGGGGACCATTCGTGCCTTTGGATCTTTTGATTTTGGCATTTATGACTTGCAGGGCATTCGGCCAGTACTAATCTGTTGATGCAATCATCACCACAATTGGATATCGGCGTACAGTTGCAGGTTTGTGGTTCACAAGCGCCAGTTGTTGTTTTAACATTGTAAACGTTCGTTCTAATTTTTCTATAGTTCCAAGAAGGCACGACGTCTCTTCCAGGAAGTTGTGAATGCGTATGTTGCCACCACAAGTCATATGGCAGTTGAAATGGCAACTTTCTACATCTTAAGTACTTGCCACAGTGGTAGGGAGGTGGCAACAAGCCGTAAGGGTGCTCGCAGGGGTTGTATGCCAAACGGGATTTTGCTGCGTTTTCAGTCCTTCTGATACGGTTCGTTTCGCTGAAAAAATAACAAATACTTCTACAAGGTCTACGCAAAGCGGAAAATACTCACTCGTCTTCTTTAAAGTAGTCTGAGAACAGTCCAGCTACCAAATACCGTTTTCTCCACCTGGGTGCTTTCTTATTTTTCTTCATTTCATCACTTGATGCCGAAGCTCTTTCTTCTCTTAATCTTCTGTCTGTGAAATGTTCTATACTGCTGGCCGGCGAGACATCCCGCAATCTTCTTTTCGGATAGCCGTTCAAATTGTCCGGCAATTTTTCACTACCCCTCTTCCGTTTTTTCTTGTCTAACCTAGACCTCAGTCGTTCAATGCTTGCCTCTAAGGAGATTTCATCCACATCTCCACTGTCAGTTTTGTCTTCTATTCTTTCATCCTGTGGAAGGCTATCGCACTCACTCATGACTTCCCACTTTGACATGGAATCTTCAGATTTAAGTATGTCAGATCTTTCAGTTCTTTGTATAAATTTATTGTACTCTTCGCCATCTTTAGGAACACGATCGCATGTTATCAACGGTTTCTCCTCTTCTACCTCATCAACCGAGTCCTCCAATGGAAGAACAGTTTTCTTTTTCTTCTTCTTCACTGTAGGAAAACCAGTCCGATTAAAAGCTCTACGTTTTCGCATTTTTTTCTTATTGATGTCAACAATGCTTTTAGCTATCTCTTGGTTCACCATGATGTCGTCAACTTTAACCACCGCCTCCAGGATCTCCTCTGGTTGTGTTTCGTTTTTCTTATTTTCGCTGGTAGTTCCGACGATGTTTCTGTTAGATAATCCTCTTTTCATCTTGAGTTCCGTGATAAGTGTCTCCAGGGATAGTTTAGGTTTAACTTTTGGCTGTTCGACTGTCGGTGCAGCAGACGAATTCGTTTTATTAACAGGGGGATTTTCCTTTTCTTTGTTATTGATAACTTCCAACCTGTGTCTCTTTTTCGGTGTCGTCGCTGTAATTGAATTGTTGTTAGAGCTGGTTTTTTCTTCTTTTGGTGCGGTTTCTTCAGTTTTTGTTTGTTTGACGTTTGATTTGCCATCTGAGAATAAATAGTGACGTTTTTTCAACGGTAACCGTTGTTCATTTAAATTAGCCACCTTATTAACCGTTGCGTTAACGCTAACTTTTTTTTTCTTTCGTTCAGTATATTCTGTAGTTTTTCGTTTTTTTGAAACCTTCTTGGCCGTCTTTAAGATGTCCGGCACGTTCTCTTTCGGTGGTTTGTTAGTACCTATTACACAAAATTGAACGAAGTCTGTTACTAATTTATCAACTTCTACAGGTTTATTTGTATCGCAATTTCCTGTTATGGGTTTAAATATTTTAATTGTGTACTTTTTATGTATTTTGTTTTTATGTCGCGTATGCATAATCTTCAAATTCTTCAGAGTTGTATATCTAACTTTGGTATTATCGATTTTATTTTTAGCCACTAGTACGGGTCTATTTTCAACTTTTTTTACGTTTTTGTTATTTTCTATGACTTTATCAGGTGGTTTGGCTTCCGTGTTAGTACTATTATTCACCGGTTTATGTTTTGGTGGCCTTCCTGGTCCCTTTTTAATCAGAGGAGGTCTGCCCACCTTTCTTCTGGGAGGATACAAAACCCGATCGGTATTTGCATACAATAACCGATCAAATTTATTTGAAGTCACAGACAACTTACTTATTTCTTTTTTATTGACTACAGATTTCGTCACTTTATCACACTTCGTTTCACTTTTTGCGTTCTTATTATCTACACTCGCATTTTTTTTCTTCATCTCTTCCTTACTATTTTTAACCTTAGCATTCGGGGAAAGGCTGGGTTCAGGACTCGAAACGTGGTCCGGACTATTTTGTATGCCTGAATCTGGAGAAACATTCGGATCACCGCAATATTCGCTATTCAAAGATTTATTTTGTGTTTTATTTTCCACTGGCGGCTTGTGATTGTCGTTCTTCCTCGGCCTCCCTCTCTTCCTTTTCACTACGTCTCCCTCAGTGCGGTTATTATTGTTGCTGCTGTTATTGTTACTGCTACTATTGTTATTATTGGTATTACTCTGTGTTTCGCAATTGTTCAAAGGTAACGGCTTGATCCCGTCACTCACTGGCGGAATAGCAGGACACGGTGCATTTAACATTTGAGTTTGAGCAACGAACTGCTGCAACAAGCTGTTTGCGTAAAGCGTCGACGGATTTGGTGGTGCATGAGATTCAGATTCGCTAGAGCTCTCTGTGGTCCTTTGGATTAGTGCATTGACTGCTTGTTGCGGTAGTTCCATGTCAGATCCTGACATATCACCTGTCTGTGGTGAACTTTTATCGACTCTGTTACATTCGAAATCGAAAGCATCGCATTCCTGCTGATCAGGCAGAATTGCGGCGAGATCCTCTTCTGGGATCTCCTGCAAACTGCAAGATGCCAAAATCTCTCTGTCTGAGTCTGAGTCTGTACTAGAGTAAGTCGAACCTCTTGATAAAGGCAACGACGCCGCCATCTGCAATAAAAGAAAGCACTGTTATTAATTTTAAATTTATAAAATAATAAACTAAAATTAGATTGTAGACATTGTTTTTGAGATTCTTTAATAAAACTTTTTGATGATGTCATCAACCTTTGTAGTAACAATTATACGAATTTGGGTAGGTATAATAATAATCTCCATCCCTTAAAAACACCGAATACAAGCTATATTGGGATCGCACAATACTTAACAGACAGATCATACTTATAAAAAACACGCCAATGAAGACATTCTCATTGGGACTGCTGTTCCTAACACGCAGAACATAATACAAACATACCACACCAAAATTTCAAAATATCTACAATTATCAATAGAAATGAAGGCAATGCTAAATCTTGAGAAAATTTCGATTCTACCTTTACATGGTTATCTCCAATGAAGGTGTAGTACCGAATAGTTTAGTTGAGAATTTGAAATATTAATCTTAAATGACTCAATAATTGTCAAAATGCAAGAAACTGTTTTGTTAGAACATGTAATATTGTTCGTAAGCTTCTCAAACAGTCTGATTATGTCAGTCAGAATAGGTTAGCACCGATAGGTCAGAGTAGTGTAGATCATTTTTCAAGTGACGCGTGGATAAATGATCGGTAGTTACGTTAGCTCTTGGGGATGTGGTGAGTTTAGAGAATAGCAGACGAATTGGTATGCTGTAATTCTAGAATCTCAAAAGTTTTTTATTGATCTAATGATAGAAGTCTTGCCTGAATGCTGGTCATTTCTGGGTCAGTGGTAGGTTTTAAAATAATAACAACAGTACTGTATTCCTACCTTTTCAGAAAATCGATAAATTGCTTTATCCATTAATTTTTTGAGACCTTCTATAGAAACAAACAGTTTTGAAAGATAGAAACGGATGAACAGATTACATGTCTAGAAGCATATACTTTGACTAGCACTCTTGAGCGAATTCTGACTCAGGCGTCTATTGACTTCTATTAATTTTTATGCCTTAAGGGTGCCCAGTCGTCGCGTACAAAATCGTAATTCCGTGTAAAATGACTGAAACTCCTTCGACACCAACAACTTCAGTTCTTACAGTTGATTGTATTTTTTCCTAGCTAAAGATATCGTGGCAGAATATAACGCTTCAAGGTTAGATTTCCAGATATAAGATACAGAAAAACGAAAACGTTCCTTAGCATAAAACATTTTGAATTTAAAAAATTACATCCTGAATGGACCCAACCACATATTAGGGGACCATTCTAAATGTACAAATTATTTTTGTAAACAAAGTGGACAAGGAAGTTCAACAGTTTTGTCTAATGAATTTTCAAATTCTACGTTGGATGAAAAATTTTATGCCCCTTTGAGCAGAGTCGCAAAGTTATCATCTAGTTTTAAAAATGTTATGATTTACAGAAACGTTTAGTAATAGACAAATAACATACCACAAAAAGAAACGTACTTTAAAACGAAAATAGCGCACACAAAGTGCAGATTCTAATTATGCACATGTCGTCGCCTAAGAACTTGTTTGATCTACAGACCAGAGCGCGCTCAGGCCAATATCGACTCTAAGCGATTTATCTGTAAGCCGGCTTTCGTTAGAGCTGACCTGATACACATCCACTACCAAGAATTAACCCGTTTCTGGTCGGACTTTACAACGAATAAGTGAAGAAAGTTCTAGAACAATCTCGAAATTTACATTTCAAATTGTATTATCAAATGGTAGAACGCTCACCAAAATTTGCTACCAACAATGAAATGACGTAATCTCCAAATTTTACAATAAGATGTAGATGTAATTTAAATTTTATATCCTCTGTTTATAGTTAATGAATCCGTGTTGAGTTTTTACCTTAGATGTCAAGATTTTTGGAAAAAAATCAACATTTTCCAATTTATAGTTATTGGAAGCATGTTAAATCGTTAGGCAAGATTTATCCGTTGATGCTCCCCAGGAGTTGATTGTCATCTTACGATTTTGTCAAATAAATGTTATTTAAATGTTAAAAAGTAGCATAGTCCTAAACTTGTGGTTTATAAATACCTACATATTGAGATTTTTCGATTTTTCAACTTTAGATGTTTCAATTTTTCAATATTTCAATTTTGGACATTTAAAATTTTTCCATTATTCAAGTCTTCGATTTCTCCGTGTTTTTATTTTTCGATTTCTAAATATTTCGATTTTTCAAATTTTGACGTTACTAAATTTTCAGTTTTCCGATTTCTAAAGTAATTTATTTTCCCATTGCGTCCCAAAGTTTCCATTTTTCACTTCTTCAATTCAATTTCCCTATTTTTCAGGCTTTTGATTTTTCAATTTTTCGATTTCTCAGGTTTTTGATTTTTCGACATCTGAATTTCCCGATTTTCAGTTTTTCGTTTTTTAAACTTTAGATTTTTCAATTTTTCGGCTGTTTTATATTTCGATTTCTCAATTTTTCAACTTTTCGATATGTTAATTTTTCAACTTTTTAAATTTTCGATTTTCCATTTTTTTTTAATTTTTCGATTTTCCAATTTTTCGATGTTTCGATTTTTCAATTATTCGATTGTTCAATTTCTCGATTTTTTTTTTAAATATAAAAAAAATTAAAACATGTCATTTGGAAAAAACTACGAACTCTTAACTGATCACAGTCTACATTTACATTTAGCAGTACATGTACACAACAATAACCGATAAAAATTGGGTTTTTATATAAATGTTATTGGACTATTTTAAAACAAAAACTCGGAAGCGGAAACGTTGAAAACAACTCTTTTGCTCATCTGATAAGTGAGATTAATAATAATAATAATAAAATCTAAGTTAAATAAAAGTAGGTTTTCCAAAGTCGTCATGTCAAGTAGCATGCAAAACTTTTTTCTAACGCAAAACTGTTGAGTTAATTGTCAAAAAGTGTTTATTTGGTTTAGGGTATAATAATCTGGAATATAATTTATAAACGATGTATTCAATACATTACAGTATCAATTTAGATTGTGGTCTTAAATTCGTTGTGTCCCGACAATCTCAACAAAATGAAGATAGCATTATAATTTCACTATCAGATTGGGGTAAACTGAATACATCTATTGTTTTGTTTTCTATTGTTACGTTCTGAGATGTTCAATGGCTTTTGGCGTGTAGTTTCGAATCAATGAATTTATTGTATTATGAAGCGACACTTGTCGTTTTTTATATTCAAGTGGAACTGCCGCCAAAGAGATTGTTAATAGACAACCAAGTTCAACTTTATAGATTTTTTAGGATTTAAACAAAAGTTACCTTTGGTGTTTCGTCTTTAACTCTGCGCAAAAGCCAAAATGTATCTACGAGCTGACTTTATTACCAAACTTGTTGCATGTTACATCTAAGAGACTCACCTTAATTATTATAATTAGTAGTACGAATAAATTTTCAGTTAAATACTATCACATAAATTATCCTTTACAAACAAGTTAAAAATGAAAAAGTGAGAATATACTAATTTTTTCAGTCGTTAACAGTAAAGATCGCTTAAAAATAATAAACACTCTAATGGCTTAATTATGAAGTAATAACACTGTACATAATTGAGAAAGCAACAATTTTGTAGCCGTATATTCAGAAGATTGATCATTTTTATTACAAGAATAAACAGTACAGTGCAATGTGTCACGTACTTTGTCGATTTGCATAATAACAGAAGCAAAACATACAACGATTTTAATATAGTTATTACAACCAAAACTTGAGAAAGCACTTGACAGGTGGCAAGAGTGACTAATATGTAGCAAATTTGAATAAAAGCTCAAACGGCTTCGTCGGAAGCCCTGTGAGATTTTCAAAGTATACGGTAACTTCATACCTGGATCGATAACTTGATATGAATCACACATTTCGCGTGGAAATGCATGCACGCACATTAAGGGCACAGGGAGACCGATTTTTTATCCTCTACCTGGACGCTGGTTCGTTTAGGCGCGTTCTTTCACCGGCGTCGTCGACTTATAAAACAACTATTTTACATCGACGTAGAGTCGCTTAACCCTCATAGAGGGTGTCCGGAAGGGAGACGGACGTCGTGCATTTGAATTAGATCGAGGGAGAGCCGATATCACGCGATATCGTATACACAGCAGCGCCAGGTGTAAGCTACAACGTGCAAGGTGTTCCACTGACAAGCGGACAGTGAAAAGAAAATGCACATGAGAAAAATTTTGCTGAGTTAACGGAAACTGCGAAAATTAACGGTCAACTACTGATGGAGATGTTGAATCTGTTTACGAGATTATTAACGACTAACGTGATTTGCAAAATGCGACGGATGTGCAAAAAAATATGGCCTTTATTAACTCAACGGTTTTTATGATAAGGGTAAAGTGTGTGTAATCAATGATAAGGATGCATACAAAGGGACATAATACATGGTTCTTGCTGCTGTATTTCATGATTGCATTATGTACTTCCGTTTTAAAATGTTATACGTGCAATATACGAGGGTAATCCACAAATTAAGTTTCGGCTGAGCATATATCTATCTCGCTATTTTCTTTCATTCTCCTACTGTGAAACTATATACACCAACTATCCTTTTAAACTGCGTTATTTATTTAATAAATTTTCAAAAGTGTCAAAGGATGTCTGATTGTCAAGAAATAGATCCTGTTGCTTGCACTACATTTTCCTGGAAATTTGCAGATTACACTGGATAAAATGTTGTCAAACCGTTAGATAACCAGGTGGTGTGTTAAATTTTGTACTCGCAGAAAAATAGTTTATGAAATGGCGAATCTCATTATTAAGGAAAAAAAAATGACGTTTTATATTTTATGTGATATTTGCTGTAACATGTAACGTTGTATTCTACTAACAATTTATCACTTATGATCAGTCAGCTATCAAAATTACTGCAAAACTACCATCAGCATGCACATAAATTTGGCGACGTCCGATCAACAAAAATTGTTTTCTAAATTCCGCATTCTGGGAAGCTGAACGAATAAATTTTGATTAATGATTTACCATGCTCCTGAAGGACAATCCAACA